TCCCTAGCCATAGATGGCAAGTTTCCATGCCTCATAGTTTCATGCAGACTTGACACATAGAACAATTGAACAAAACTATTCTCGAAGGTAAATTGAGCTTGTCATGCTGAGGATGATAGGAGTACTTGCCAAGTGCTGGTAATAAATCGATGGCGTTGGTGGCTGGGGAGAGAAGTGCCATCTGTCTATGATGTGCATGAGATACTGCAGGATTGCTAGGAAGCCGTTGTCGGAGTTGTAGTATGCTTGTGGGGAACTGTCTGGGTAGTATGATACCAGTATGGTACTGCCTGGGAGATGTGGTATAGGAGTTGTGGCGTATATGTGATTAGTCAGCACCATGCACCAGCGTGCTCCATCTTTTCCCAGTTGATTTTTTCTAGCTTTGCCAAGCTTTGATAGACTACTACGTGAGGACCATGAAGGTCAAAGGGGATCCCGTTGCTCTGCCTTTGGTTTGAGGTTTGTTGGTGGGAAGCCATTGTTTGGGTGAGAGTTTGTTACTGTTGGAAGTGGGGAAAATGATATTATCGGACCAAGACTTCAACAGGTTTTGGTTGTCCCTTCATGTTGAGGGGCTTTTCTTTTAATAGAGATGAACTGTGTTGGGGAGGAGTAAGTAATGGAGGGGACTACTCACTGGTTGTGGCAATGAGTAGTCATAATTGCTAATTTGGAGTTGCCAATCATAGCTGCTGATTTAGAGCTGCTAATCATAGCTGCTAAGCTTGTAGTTGCTGATAGCTTTAGCCAAGGTGACTTTGGAGAGTTTAAGATTTGGTAGGCACCTTTTTGTTGCTTTGAGGTAGTCATTTTTTTGGTCACATCAACTAGTTCTGCAATTATACAAGAGCACATATGTAAGAGGAGGATTAATTTTGATTTATCCTTGACTCTCTTTTTTATTTATCGATTAATTTTGTTGTTGATCTCAAAAAAAGAAGAAGTAGGATTAACAACTTATGAATATATATGGGATACTAACAAGGTGCTTGAATGTACTATAAATAACAAATGATATAATATTTATGTGTACATAGCTAAACGGTTCAGTTTGATTCCAAATTGGAACCATGACTATAAAATGACAGACTGAACCATAAAATAAGGTTTGCCTATTTTAAGAACTATGACCGAACCATGCATTGAGAAAACCAAACCAAACTTTGGTTTGGATCGGTCTCGTTTGTGATTTTTTTGCTCAGACCTACCTTGCACTTTTATTGCGTGTAGATTCTGCTAGTGAGGGAATTTCAATGGGTTTGTATCCTACTGGATTTTTTGTCCTTCACCGTAGTGAACTTTTGAATACTAATCTATTAATTTAGTTTACAAGGTAACTTCTTTTATAACAAATTGGTGTCCTTCATGGGGACTTGTTAGATTTTTGAAACTTTTGGGCCCGTTGTGCAACTACCTATTGACCCTGAGACAGGACACTGCAAAGGTTTTGGATTTATTTAGGTTAGTATAACTTCATATTGACTGCCCTTTGCTCAAGTAGTTTTTTTTTCGGTAAAAGACATGAAGTTTCTTGTCACGGATGTTACAAAATGCAAATTTGTTGATTCTCATGGAACCATGCATAATTTTTTTGCAAATAACTTCTTTTTTCTTTCAACTGTCATTCGTATTACTTTTTAATTATTCTTCATTTTGACGAGTTTGATCCAATATTATTTTTTAAGGCTAAAAATAGTTGGAATCGGTATTGACCTCCTAGATGGAACCTTTTCTCTGTCGCATATTTGTTTTAGCATAATGGACGACAAATATAATTTCAATAATAATCATTCATTTTTTGTTATACAATTTCATATTTTTAATTCGTTAAGGTTGGCTTATACAATAAAATACGCCTATGGAGCTAGATGGCATATAATTAGGACATGTAGGTTGAAAGTTAGTAAAATACTCCTTAAACTTTGTCGAAAAAAGGCGTTCGGGGGTGAAAATGTGAAACAGCCCTAAACCACTCTGGGGATATCATGAGAAGATTGATCGTGACAAATACAACCTGGGGGAACAAAAGACATGTAATTAGGACACGCAGGTTGAGTAAAAAATGCCTTAAACTTTGTTGAAAAAGGGTGTATGATGGGCAAAAATACAAAACAGCGTGTGAACCACTTTGGGGATATCACAGGAAGCTTGCTTGTGATAAATACTACCTGTGGGGATAGATAACATGTAATTAGGACACATAGGTTGGGGGTTTGAGTTGAAAACGCTTTAAACTTAGTTGAAAAAAAGGTGTTAAAGGGGGGCAAAAATACGAAACAGTGCCTAAACCACTCTAGGGATGTCACCGGCAGCTTGCTCGTGACAAGTACGACTTGTTGGGACATATGGGATGTAATTAGGACACATATGTTGACAGTTAGAGTAAAAAACGCCTTAAATTTAGTTGAAAAAGTGCATTGGGGAGCCAAAAATGCAAAACAATCCCGAACCACTCTGGGAATTGCGTGGGCAACTTCCTCATGCCTAATAGAACATATGGGCACATACGGCCTGTGAATAGGACACATAGGTTGGGAGTTAGCGCTGAAAATGCCTTAAACATAACTGAAAAATTGCATTTCAAGAGGGAAAAACTTGGGAGAAACTTGTTCGGACATGCAACATATGATTATGACTATAATTATACAATTTTGAAAAGATTATATACATTCGAGTTTTTTATAATTTTTTTTATTATTTGAAATGATGACGTTATTCAATCAATACTAGTGGTTAATTTTATTTTTACAAATGGTTTTTGGCGTGGAAAAGTGGATATTCCTTATTTATGTGCGGAGGACATTGTTTTTTTTATAATCTGTTATTATGTTGTCCTTTGTTTTTTTTTTTTTTTGGATTACTATTATTCGTACAGATAACTATTGGGGTGGTACAAATTGCTTTTGGCATAGACATATTACTTTTGGCATGGTATAGATTACCATTTGACATGGTATTGTGGATATTTCTTTTTGTGTACAGAAGACATGATTTTTGTATAATCCTCTGTTTTGTATAGAATTATTATTCTAAGTTGGATTATGCTTGATGCATGTGGAATTGCTATTATATTTTGAATTTGACATTAAAAGTTAAATTTTCTTGGATTGTTATTATTTTCTTTATATACAAGGTACAGGTTGCACAGAATAAATACAGGTTGTGACAAAATTAATATATATATATATAACAGTAAAAGTTTTGACGATTAAACATTTAATAGCCAAAAGGAAATCAAGCCTTTTTCGAGATTAAATATTTGGTAGCCAAAAGAAAGAAAATATTTTTGGTGACTAAATAGTTTGTAGTAAAAAAAAATAAAATGAAAAATAAATTTTATTTGGTGAATAAATATTTAGTAGCCCAAAAAATTTGAAGTTTTTGCATACAAAAAAATTTGGTCGTCAAAAAAGCCGTTGATATTTTTTACAACTAAACATTTAGTTACCAAAAAAGCTACAATCTTTTGCCTACAAAAAAGATTGGTTGCTAGCTAAAGGAGTCAATTAGATGTTTGGCTACAAAATTAATTTGTCGCTTATAATGGAAAAAAGAATTGGCGACTATATATTTTAATCAGTAAATAAAACATAGTAGTGATATAATTTATCAACGACTAAAAATTTAGTCGATAAAAGTTCAAATTAAATTTATAGAAAAATTTATGGCGACTAAATTATTAGTTGCCTAATGGTATTCAATGGCTACTAAAATAATTTTAGTTGCCAATAATTTTCCCGACAATTATTCAACGACCAACTGGGTGACTAAGTAATTTAATTTGGAATTACATTCATCGGTTAAAAATGATTTTTAACGACTAAAAATTTAGTTTCCAAATGTGCAATTTCTTGTAGTGTGTAACTAGTTTATTATCCTAATTAATTTCAATAGACTGGATTAACTAATAGTAATTTTAGTGATCAAATGTTCTACAATTTCACTCCACATTGACATGATATGCACTCAGCAAACAACAACCAATTTCACCTGCAACTCACACATAGGTAAATCTTGTAGAACATTAGATGCATCTGATTTGCATAAGCTAGTTTCATGGCACAAGCAAGCACATATTGAATTAAAATAGTCAACAAAAGAAAAGCCTCAAAAGAATAAAAAAGACTTGACCCTTAGAGAAGGAGTAAAGGCAAGGTTCTTCCTTAATCTGTTAGGCTTGTGCAAATCAGGTGGTGAGAAGCTATTGGTTTTCAGCCATTATCTCCAACCACTTAAGTTCTTGGAAAGGCTAGTCATGAAAGTGAAGGCTTGGACTCTAAGAAAAGAAATGTTTGTAATCACCGGTGATTCCAGTTCTAAGATTAGAGAGTGGTCCATGGATTGTTTTAACACTTCCCCAGATGCTCGAGTCTTCTTTGAATCAATAAAAGTGTGTGGAGAAGGAATATCTCTTTACACAATTGAAAATCATCATCATCATTTCAACTATTTGAATTGAGTTTCCTATGTTTTAAGTTCAATTCCATCAACTATGCATGAACTTAGCACTCAAAGAAACATTTGTTTGAAAACATAAGTTCCGACAATACAAAAACACTGATTACTACAAAATTTAAGCTTTGGTAGTTGAGAGACATTGAATGACTCGGTGTGTTTTGTGATTCCTTGAGAGCAAATAACCCAAGTTACTATTGCGAGTCATAAGCATCAATGAAAAAAAATAAAAACAATAGAGAATAATTTCCAAAAACTAAAGCCAAATAAAAGGATCACACATCCTAGCAAACATAGTATATACCTAACAAACATAAGACATAACAAAGGAACCATGTACATAATAATGACCACCTACTAAGAATAAAAGTTTTGAGCTTAACATTTGTGGACAATCTACAAACTAATGTTTGTCGTCCACATGATGCAGTTCATATCAAGACACCACTTGCCATCTAGTCATACCAACACACCACTTGCCATCTAATCATATCAAGACACCACTTGCAGCCAAAATTGATGAACTGCAGGAAGAGGAAATGAAATATTCTAAACTGATTTATAAAATTCTAGTAATCGAAACAAAGGAAAGAAAATAATCAAAGTGGTTTCATTCATATTAGTAGAGATTAGAGAAACAGGGGAAGAACAAAATGGTTTCTGACTTGAATGTGTGTTCTCATGGTTGTAGTCTAATTTTGTATCGTGAAATTAGTTGAGTACAGAAATGGTTGCTCAACAATAAACTTCCACTCCTATTAGAACTAAGATGGCGAAGTTGATGTCCAGCACTGACAATGCTGTTAGAAGCTATACTTGCTAAGTAAGCCTCAAATTGCTGACTCTGAATCCATTTCCTTGTTAAGTATAAATGTGCCATGTCTTCATTGTCATCTAAAAGATGTTCAATTTCATCACGCACCTAACACCAAACAACCATTTGCTCCACATTAAAAGTAATACGACAAATAAATGAAAAGGCATAGAATCATTCACATGTAACAACCTCAATACACATTTAGTATAAAAGCTACCAAAACATTATCAATAGATGCCTTCTTAATTTGAACTTTGCAAGGAAATGACTCAATTGACAATAATGACAAGAAATAGGCCTCAATTAAAATTGACAAACTTCAGCTACACCTTCACAATTTTATGACGATTGATGATCCATCAGTTGCATTTATTGCACAATTTTGATAGATGTGCAAACTACTTGTGGGAATCAGAGCATATCTCGTCAAAAAAAGTCCATGTAACGACCCTCACTCTACCTTAGTCATGCTTGCATATATTACATGATCTTGTCTTGATATATTGCATCTTTGCAAACCTTGATTTGTCTTGCTTAAGTGTTTCTCGCATGTTTTGTACCTTGCTTGGTGTGAGTTTAGCCGAGGTCATCTTCAGTCTAGAATTATCTTGGAACCACTTTGTTTGACCTCCACCTTCGCCCTGACATATTGGCCGAGATGTCATTATCTAGGCCGAGGTGTTCATCACCAAGGCCGAGATGTGTATTATCTAGGCCGAGATGTTACCTTTGCACCTAAGCGATCTTGTCCTGGAGTGGTATGACCTAGACCGAGAACCATTAAGAACAAGTACCATTGCCTAGGATTGATGATTTGTGATCAACTACAAGGAGCACGGCTTTTCCAAGATGACCTCAGGTCGGCTACCATCACGCTGAAAGTTAAAGCCGAGGATAATTGAGATACTGCTTTTCGGACAAGGTATGGCCAGCTACGAATTTTTGTATGCCTTTCGGAGGACCAATGCTCTCGCAGCATTTCAATGACTTGATAAAACAGAGTCTTTTTTATTAACCGTATTCTAGATGAGTTCATAGTTTATTATTTATTTGACGACATATTGATCTATTCAAGAGTACAATTGAACACGAGAATCATCTGAGACTTGCCTTTGCAAATCTGAGAGATAAGAAGTTGTACGCCAAGTTAGCAAGTGCGAGTTTGGACTTCTTCAGCATTTATTTTTAGGGCATGTGATTAATGAAGAGGGCTATATCAGTTGATCCTAGTAAGATTGAAGCCATTGTGAATTGGCCGACGCCAACACGTGTCGAGCTTCGTAGTTATTCTGGGCTTGCAAGGTTATTTACAGAAGTTGTGAAGGGACTTCTCAAGGAATTGCAGTATCGTTGGACACAACTAACTAGGAAGGGAACAGTAATATGAATGGACGGATGATAGAGGAATCGCTTTCCAAGAGTTGAAGACGAGTGTTAGTAACGGCACCAGTTCTTGTACTTTCATCAGGTAATGAGAATTTCGATTTTATTCAGTGATGCTTCACATTAAGGATTGCGGTTGTGTATTAATGCAACGGGGCAAGGTCATAGTATATGCATCTTCGTCAGTTGAAACTTTCACTTTTCCCCCCCCTTGAAGAACTATCCGACCCATGACCTAAGCTGCAGCCGTAGTGTTCGCTTTGAAGATTTTGACGTCACTAGTTGTATGAGAGGCTCTTTGCAGTTGTTACAGATCACAAGAGTTGACAGTACTTGTTCACTCAGAAAGGAACTAAATTTGAGAGCAGAAAGATGGCTTGAATTATTGAAGGACTACGACATGGCAAATTCAATATCACCTAGGTAAAGCAAACTGATAGCCGAATGCATGAGTAGAAGTCAGTGGGAAGTTGCATGCCTAGCCTGATTTCGTGAGCCGACTACTATGGGGAATAAAGGCAAGGAAATGGAGGATGAATCCTGAAGACAGGTAGCCGACGAGTTTCATCCACCAGGCCGAGGTAGTTACACCCTTGAGATGGAGTGCTTAATGTTTGAAGGAAGATTGGTGCAGTGGTCGCGTCCTAGAGTAAGAAAGAAATTTTTGCAAAACTCTCATGGATCCAATTTGCATCATCCAGGAACACCAACATGTTATCAGGATGTAACACAGATTTTTTGTTGGCGATATGAAAAAGGAAAATAGCCGAGATTCGTATCCCAGGTTTACATTGTGTTGTCAACAAATGAAGCAGACACCAGGAGGCCAGCAGGACTACTCGACCTGTGCCGATTCCTGAGTGGAAATTGGAGCACATCTCAAGGATTTGTTGTTGGTTTGCGAGGACCAGAAAAAGCATTGGATTTCAATTTGGTTATCATTGACAGATTAACCAAGTCAGCACACTTCTCTGCCTATTCAAACTACAAATTCGAATGCTGACGACTTGCTGTATTGTATTAAATGAATTGTGAAGACTTCAATGAGGTGCCGATGTCCAATTGTTCAGACCGAGATCCAAGTTTGTTTCTAATTTGGCCAGAGTTTTACAAAGGGCTTTGGGACTGAAATTGAGTTTAGTACGGCTTTTCATCCTACGACCGATGCAAACCAGAGAGAACAATTACAAACACTGAAGACTGCTTAGACTATGATAATTAGACTTCAAGGAAGCTGGGAGTGCATGTTGCCATTAGTAGAATCGCTATACAACAACAGTTATCAAGGCTAGCTTTGGCATGGCGCGTTATGAAGCCCTGTATGAAGAAAGTGGCAATCGCCGATCATGTTTGGGACCGAGGTAGGAAGATAAAGCTTTGACGGCGCCCGATCTAGTTCAAGGACAACGAAAAGATCAAGCTTATCCAACAGAGAAATCAGGCACCACTCAGAGTCGACAGAGAGCTATGTCAACCGAGAGAAGAGAGTTGAATTTGAGTTGGGGATCATGTATTCCTGAAGTTTACCTAATGGAAAGGGAAACTTCCAGTTTGGGAAGAAAGGTAAGTTAGCACCTCTTACACGGGCCATTGAAATACTTGAGAAGGTCAAGCCCAGCCGGCCTAATAGACTGGCTTACGACCGGGACTAAGTCAAGTTTCACATGTGTCTCCATATTTCGATGCTAGGAAGTATATTTGGGATCACACTGCATTAATTTGTCATTCCGGGATTGTGGTTAGTGAAAGATTAGGCTACGGGAGAGCCGATAAAAATCATTGACCAGGAACAAGTGAAACAGTATGAGGAACAATCGATACCAAATGGTGAAAATTGAATGGAAACAGCTTTTACGACAGGATGCTACAGGGAAACGAAGAAGAAATGGGCGTCATACCGGGGTTACTTGTAGAGCAAGGTAATTTAAGTTTGGGGACCAAAACTTCTTTAGGAGGGTGATTGTGCCCTCTCTATATATATGTAGGTGACGAGTAGGACGGCGGTGACGCCTAGATGTACTTGCCACTTGTTTTGGATTTTGCACTTTTGCAGCATTTTGAAGATTATGTTTCTTAGTTGTATTTCATTGTATTTTTATATGATGGCTTGAGAAGCCTTTTGGTCAAGATGTATTTTTGTACTTCATTTGTTGTATTAAAGCTATGTAAAGATGTATGCCATTCCATTTGACTTATGCATTGCTCTCATGGACCACTTGTATTTTAAATTATTGCTTCCGCACTTGTGAGCCCCATATATTTATACTTTGATTGTGTGTGAATTTTGAAGGTTGGCCTTCGGTAACTCGAATTACTGGCCATCACGGCACCATTCTACTAGGGGCGGAATAGGGGCGTGATAGATTGGTATCAGAGCACACGTTCCTTATAGTACGTTATTCACACACTTTGAGTCCTAAAGAGCATAGGGTGTCCCTTAGAATGATGTTAGGATTGCATCATGTTGCTTGCTACTTGACAAGATGTGCATCATCTCGGCATGATCATTTATTACTTGCATGCATGTTTACTTGCTCATTCTGTTTAAAAGTCACATTTTGCATACTCTTGGCATCATGAGAAGGGTAGACCACCAGTTGGCCGAGATCATCCCGAAGGCAGATTGGACAGATTAGAGAGACTGGTCGAAGGTTTGGTCTGTGAGTTGAGGCAAACTCAGCCACAAGACGCTAGTACTACTTCTACCCAGGCCGAGCAGACAAATGGCCGACATGCAGTCCCACATCTGCCTCCTCCAGTTGCGCAAGTGCCTCCACAGCAAGCTTTATATGGGGATGGCACCATAGCCTTAATCAGAGAGTTCAAAAAGATGAAACCGTCGAGGTTCTCTGGGGGTATTGAACCGATGAAGGCCAAAGCGTGGGTCTTGGAAATGGAGAAGCTATTTAAGATCTTTCCCAGTACCGATGCCCAGAAGATGTCATTGGCAACATTCACACTAGACGACGATGCACGAAGATGGTGGATGATGACTCGAGAAAGCAACCCAGGTCTGACTTGGGCCAGATTTTTGGAATTGTTTTACAACAAGCATTTCCCCCTTAGTGTTCGAGACCGTAAGACCACAGAGTTTCAGACTTTGACACAAGACAACAAGATAGTGGCAGAATATGACTGTGCTTTTACCGAGTTGGCGAGATACGAGCCTCACATGGTCGATGATGAATACAGAAAGGCCAGGAAGTTCGAAAGGACTGCGTGGACCAATTCAGGATCGAGTTAACATGCTCAATATGCCGACTTACGCCGGAGTGTTGGACAAGGCCATCCTGGCAGAGGCTAACTTGAACCGATATCAGAACTCAGGAGAAAATCAGAAGAAGAGGCAGAACTATGATAATCGCCGAGCTCCATTTAACGCTAAGAAGAAAGTGAATGTGGGCAGCTCCAGCAACTCGAACCAAGAAGGTAATACTAGGCCGACGTGTGCAAGCTATGGGAAGCCGCATTCCGAAGTTTGCCGTTGGGTATCGGGAGCCTGTTTTGAATGTGGTGAAATGGGTCATCGTATGAAGGACTGTCCGAAGGCAAGGACTGATGATGGTAAGAAGAATGGGAGTACCTCGGGCTATGCACAAAGGAATAACATCGGGAGGGCACAAACGAGACAGGGCAAAGTTTTTGCATTGGTGCCAGGAGACACTCAGAATGTTGAGACAGTAGTGTCAGGTATACTCCTAATTTGCTCTCAAGATGCATAC